CCTTCTCCTGTCCCCCCCTGTCCTTATACTATCCCCCTCTGGCCTTATACTATCCCCCTCTGGTCTTATACTATCCCCCTCTGGTCTTATACTATCCCCCTATTATTATCCGCGGGGTATGTTGGGAATTCTCTGATTATCTGACATGTGTTGTCGTGTGTCTCCCCTCCAGCCCCGGCCCAGGACGCGGTGACCGCGCTCTCCCTCGCCATCTCTCGCCTCATCAATGTCCACAGCCGCAGCTTCTGCGCAGATTTCCAGACGGGGAACCCGGACGAGCCGCACGGGACGGCGGAGCCGCGTGATCACCTGACCTTCCACCTGTACGCTGCACACGACCTTCCCTATCACTGGGCGACCAGGTCAGAGCTCTCACACATGGGGGGAGGATACAGGGTCTGGGTGTTTGTTACAATCACACCAGTAATTATGACATTTTATATTTATCATTTTCATCCAGCAGGTGGCGCTCTGAGTCCATTTACCATTCACCAGGCTCACCCTCACTGCATGGCTGAAAAACACATTTTCTTTCTCCACCAGAAAATGAAATGTCATTCAGCGTAGAGTAGGGCGGGTGTCAGTGAAAGATCGTGTAGACCAGGGGGTAGGCAAACTCCGCCACTCCAGCTGTGGTGAAACTACAAATCCCATCATGGATCTGCCTCTGGGAGTCATGCCCGTGGCTGCCAGCGTCTTCATGGGAATGTAGTTGCACCACAGCTGGAGGGCCTACCCCTGATGCTGTTTGGCGTGATTTGCCCTCCTACATTTGTCCTGGTGTCACCGAGACAGGAAGTCATGGGAAATACAAAATCGTTTGCAAATGGCGCCACTCTAGGCAACCCCATGGAAGTTCCTGGGAGCCGCCTTCTCCCCTCGTGCAAATATCCAAATATTGCCAAAGCGCTAGACATGTGCACCGGCAAACGTTTTTGCGCTCTTTAATTTTTCGGGATTCGGGTCCGAAAGTCAATTCGTTTCGGGATTCGGATGAAATTCGTTAGCGGTAATCTGTACGGATTGTCGTTTCGTTTACGTGTCGTTTCGCTGCAGCAAAGTGACATTTAAAAAAAATTTCACTTTGCTGCAACGAAAATTCGTCCACAAACAAAGCTGCGTACAGACTACCGCTAACGCATTTCGTTTTGGGAAATTCGGATCCGTTCTCATTCGTCATTTCTGTTATTACATCCGAATAACCAGAATTCATCCCGAAAACGAATCGCACATGTCTACAAAGCGCAAGAAATGTTTTTAGCACCAGACAAGGTCAGTCAGACATCCCCTTACCCACCAGACGTGACTAGACGAGACACCCCACCAGACGTGACACCCCTTACCCACCAGACATGACAAGACACCCGACGACACATC